AGCCCCCCCAAAGCACCAGACCCCAAAGCACCAGCCCCCCCAAAGCAGGTGAGGATCAGCGGCAAGGATCATGGGGCTGGGGGAAGCGGAGAAAAAGAGCCTTTAATTCTGGGGGGGGGGACGAAGAGGAGGAGGAGGAGGGCGCTCTCGGGATCTGCAGATTGATTGATTGATTCCCCCCCCCCCCGGTTATTTATTTTATTTATTTTAATTTTTTTTGCTCCCCGTCTCTAAATTGCGCTTTGGGCTTTTGTTGCCGGGGGAATGCTGCAAGGAGCCCCCCATCTCCCGGGATCTTCCTCCTCCTCCTCCTCCTACCCCCCCTTCCTCCTCCGCCTCTGTTGCTAGGCAAAGTTGAAGTATAACCCCCGGCTATAAATAGGGCGGCCCCGCTGATTGGCCGAAGGATCAGCTAGGGAGGCGGTCTTCCTCGCCGGGGCTGACGTCAGAGGGGATGGTGGTGGGGGGGGGAAATGCGGCAAGCAACCTTTATCTCCCCCCCCTTTCCTTCCACCAGACAGAAGGAGCTGCAGCCCAGGAGGTGGGCATGGGGGGGGGCGTGGGGCGCCCTGGTCCTGGAGGGGGAGGGGCAGGGAAGTGATCTGGGCCTAGAGCCCCCCCTCCCCAAAGACTAGCAAAGGCTCCCCCCCCCCGCCAAAGCCGCCACCATCATCATAAATCCCGAGCATCATCCTTGATGCTCGTAGCCCGGAGGAAAAAGCAGTGATGCAACACAACCGGAGGAGCGTTTCAGGCGGGGTCTGTTTGTCGGATCCCGGATCCCAAATTAAGGCTGGATCTTCCCAGTCGGCTGGACTTGGCTTTGCTCCAGAGGAAAAGGCCCCAAAGACACTCACAATCCGGGTGATCCGTCCTCCTTCCCCCATTGTTCTCAATCCGGGACATCCCTCCCTTCCCCCCCCCCCCCCCCCCCCCCCCCCCCCCCGCCCAGGGCTGGACAATTTTGCCTCGGTAGTCCCACTGCCAAACCGGATCCCCGTTCTGGGAATCAAATCTTAATTCCCCCTGAAACTGGAGTGGCACTCAGGTCCGCAAGAGGAACGAATCCCCTCCCTTCCGTCCCCGCCAATTCTGCCAGGGGAAAAAAAAATCGCCCTCCCGATCCAGGATCCCTTTTGCTTCAAACTCAGAAGACAGGAAAAAAAAACGGAAGCCCTCCCGGGCGAAGTGTCCGTGTCGGGACGGCTTTGCGTTAACCTTGAGCGGAAGGGAAATTCAGAACTTAGAACCGGACCCAACGGGCCTTGAGGATTTGTGTTGCGTTGCAAGCCCAAATTCACTGGTTGGGATCCTTTAAATGGGTCACAGCCTGGGGGGGGGGTGTTACCTGTTAAGTTGGATGCGTGAAAAATATTCCCAGGATACCTCATCTTCCCGCAAGGGACTGCAGTTGGTATTCTCTGATCTAGTCAGTTTCCCGGAGTTTTGCAAATGAAAAGGTTTCGAAATAAGAATAAGTGTTAAAATGAGAATTCGCTGTTGGGCCTAAGATAAAGGGGTTACCAAAAAATCCTTTATCTGGGTCCAAATCTGGGGTGTATGATGTCTGTGGAGATGCTCAGGCATCCAGGTCTGGGTTTGCGACGTTTTCCCGTGTATTTTCATTCCTTGCAACCTGCTTCAGGCTGCTGATGTGTCAACACCAATAAAAGGAGGATATTTGCAGCTCAGGGTTGACAATAAGGGGCCCTTGGTGCTCTCTGAGCTTGGGGGTTTTCTTGCAGACGTTTCATGACCCAACTAGGTAACATCATGAGTGCTAGGAGGGAGGGGGATTTATGGAGAGGAGGAGGAGGAGGACTGTGGGGTCCTTGGTGCTCTCTGAGCTTGGCGGTTTCCTTGTAGATGTTTTAAGGCCCCATCTAGGGAACCTCACCAGGGCCTAACCTAACCCATCATCAATGCACTGATGATTCTACCTAGATGGGTCACGAAACGTCTGCAAGAAAACCACCAAGTTCTGAGAGCACCAGGGACCCTTCATTTGTGTAGACCAGGGGTCTTCCAACTTGGCCCTTTGATGAATTGTAGACTTCAACTCCCAGAATTCCTCTGTCTGGCTGAGGAATTCTGGGAGTTGAAGTCCACAAGTCATCAAAGGGCCAAGTTGGAAGACCCCTGCTTGTGAACTTCAACTCCCAAAATTCCTCAGCAAAGGCACGCTGGCTGAGGAATTCTGGGAGTTGAAGTCCACAAGTCATAAAAGGGTCATAGTTCCCTCACGCTGGCTGAGGAATTCTGGGAGTTGAAGTCCACAAGTCATCAAAGGGTCATAGTTCCCTCACGCTGGCTGAGGGATTCTGGGAGTTGAAGTCCACAAGTCCTAAAAAAGGGCCAAGTTTGGAGACCCCTGGTGTAGAGAGAGGTGGAATGGGTCAATCTCAAGGAGGCTGGCATTCAGCAGAGGGACCCTTTGGATGAAGACCCTCCCCATTCTTGACAGGCCTTCCGGCAAGTTGTTGCAAGCATCTCCCGCCATTGGTGCAACTCTTTTTTTTTTTTGGCTTCTGCTTCTCTTTTCCCAGGATCTGGTGAAGAGCCACCTGATGTACGCCGTGCGCGAGGAGGTCGAGGTGCTGAAAGAGCAGATCAAAGAACTCATTGAGAAGAACAACCAGCTGGAACAGGAGAACAACTTGTTGAAAACCTTGGCCAGTCCCGAACAGCTGGCTCAGTTCCAGGCACAATTACCGGCCAGCCCTTCTCCGGCGTCGGCGTCTTCGCAAACGCAAGGGACGAACCTACAGCCTTCCCAGGCTGCACCGCCAAGCTCCGGACCCTCGGCGTAGTCGTCCAGCACCACACCTCAGATTTCGGCACTCTGGACTCTCCGCCGAGGCTGGACTGCAGGAATCCAGCAGTCTCTGCATGCTGTTTCCCCCCCCACAACCCACCCCAATTATGAAGACTCTTCTGCAGTATTAAGCTGTTCAGGGGCGCAGCAGCAGGAGAGGGTTGACATGTTTCTTTTAGATTATTATTTTTAAAAATTGGGGGTGGGAGGGTTGGGGTCTTGCCACCGTTCAGGGAATTAGCACAAATGCACTGGGCGTCTTCGGCGGCTTTTGCAGCGGCTGCTAAAAAACAAAAAAAACGACGTACGAGTTTTCGTGTGCCTGAAGCTTATTTTTTTTCCCCCCTTAACGATCTTCCTTCCGTGTAGTGCCGTGATGAATGCAAGCGCTTTTGGGCCTGGAAATGTGAAGCCGTTGGCTGGGGTAGCGGGGATGAAGCCCCCTCCCCTAGCTCTCCATCCGGAAGCCAAAGGAATAAGACAGGGGAAGAAAAAGAACGGTGGGGAAACTGAGGGACAGTAAAAGGGGGAAAATGGGGCGTTCGGTGCCTGCAGTCTTAAAACAAAACAAAAAAAACAAACACAAAAAAAAAATGCAGATGTGCACTCGTTTTTCTATAGCCAAGGAAGGTGCAAAGAAAATAAATTAAAAAAAAATAATAAATTGCCTATTTTCTAAGAGAGGAACCGGGAGGTTTAAAAAAAAAATAAAAATAAATAAATGCTGTGACACGGGATGGTCCGATGAAGGTTTGTTCGCTTAATGTATATTTGTGTATTTAGTGTATAATGACTTTGTAAAATAGGAACTGTAACTAGTCCGTTCAGCTGTACAGAGTGAATTTAAAAGAATGAACTGAACCGGTTTGGAGAAGCAATTTTTTTTTTTTTTGCTTTTTTTTTTTTAAGTTTTATTTTTTTATTTTTTTTATTTTTTGGGGACGCTACATGGATTCACTTTTTGCACCTATACGAGCTCTCCGGATATATCAGCTGGTGCTGTTTTATGTCGGTTCTAAAAGTTGCCTTGGAAAATGAATATATTGACGTCCAACGCTGTCCTTTGCCGTTCCAGTGGATGCGGGAAGCCGGGGTTGGGGTGGGGGGTGGGCAGGGATGAGTTCACCAAAGCAAAATCTTAAAAAAATTTAATTCCTCACATTTTGGATGGGGGCATACGATCTGTGTAATCGGATGCATATGTTCTTGTGCATGTTCTGGGTGATTCATTGGGAGGAAAATGGTAAAAGTACCAGTATATTTAACGATTGCACTTGTCAACTTCTAATAAAGCATACCATGTTGATATAGAAACTGTGATCTGAGGGGGACTCTTGCCTTCCGTGAGGTCAGACAAAAACTAGACACAACCAGGCCTTTTGGTTTTGCAAAACTTTTTTTTTTTTTTAAACGGCTAGAGCAGTGGTTCTTAACCTTTTTAATGCCGCGACCCCAACCGGTCGTAAATTGAGGACTAAACCGGTCGTAAGTCAAGGACTAAACCGGTCGTAAGTCGAGGACTACCCAACCGGTCGTAAGTCAAGGACTTTCCCTGCCCGGGAGTGCCGCGCATGCGTGGTTCCGCCCCCTGCGCCGGCCGAGGCGTAGCTGGCAAGCGGCAGAGACGGAGCAGGCCGACCACCAGCTGGCCCAGCCCAAGGGAGGTAAGGCACCCGCCGGAAAAGGGGGGAAAAAATGGCGGACAAAAAAAATGGCGGACAGCCTTGCTTGGCGACCCCCGTGAAATGGTCGATCGACCCCAAATGGGGTCCCGACCCACAGGTTGAGAACCACTGGGCTAGAGAGTGTTTCAACAGCAAAATATTAAAATTGTGTTCCTACCGCAAAATGACTTCTGCAAAAGAAAGTCGAACTGGTGATTTCAACCAGAGGGGGAAAATGGAAACCTTGAGTTTGGCTAACCTGATGCTTGGACATGGGGTAGAAAAGGCAGTTTGGTCCTTCGAAAGAGGTGGTGCGCAACTAAAGGGGTGATAATTGTGAACAACAACCAGCCCTTTTAGCTAAATCTGGCCGACGTTACGTCGTAGCGTTCCGAATGCGTCGTTCTTTGGGCCGCCATTAAATGGATCGGACTTAACGCTGAGCGTTCTTCGAAATGCTTTGCGTGGGTTATTGTTTGAATGATCCTTCACTAACCTTGCAAGATGGGTTAGTACCAGTGACTCTTTTATTTTGCATCCCAGAGAAATTAAGAGGGGGGATTGCAAGGGTCTTGCAGAGACTTGGTTACACAGACAAAAACAATATGGCTGGGCCGCTAACACGTTTTGCAAGCAAGCGTGGCTTGTGGTTTATCACAACTGCAGATGTAAACCTGAGAATTTGTCTGGAATTAAAAAAACAACAACCATGATTCCCTTTTTAAAGTTCACTTGGCTGGTGGCTTCCTTCCATACTCTTCCCAGCAGAGAAAAGAACACGAAACTTAGCTAACTAGATTAGGGATGATTCAGGCCCATCCTACAGAGGCACAAGTTGTTTTCCTTGTCACTAAACAAACTCGTGGCTCCCTGTGATGTGCAAACTTCCTTCTCTCTGAATTGCAGCTCCAAATTGTTTACCAGATGTTCCAGGATCTCTTTCTCAGAAATGCAGCTGGCCTCTTTTTGCTTTCACCGTTTCTTCCCCTGAAAAATCTGAACCGCTCACCTTGCTCTGGTCTTTGTGCAATAGGAAATGGTCGGCGTGTAGCGTTGGAGAAAGGGTACAGGACCCCTCACAAGTCACAAATGGCTTTAGGGACATCAAGGATTACAGGATTCTGCAGTTGTGGGAGGGATTTAGAACACGACATCAGTTGGAAGGGACCTTGGAGGTCTTCTAGTCCAGCCCCCTGCTCAAGCAGGAGACCCTGTACCATTCCAGACAAATGGTTGTCCAGTCTCTTCTTTAAAACCTCCAGTGTTGGAGCACCCACAACTTCTGGAGGGAAGCTGTTCCCCTGGTTAGTTGATCTCACTGTCTGGAAATTCCTTAGTTCTACCTGTGTCTTCCATAAGATGAGACTTGGGTCTCTATCGGATGACTGTCCAGTAATTTGTGTGTGCCTTCCAGGTTCATGTTGACTCCTGGAAACAATCTTTGAGTAAGTGAAGACTAGATTTCAAAAATGGTTTGCCTTCCTAGGGTTGAGAGAGAGTGACTACTAGCCCAAAGTCACCCAACTGGGTGACGTGTTCAAAGAAAAACAAGAAAGTCTAGTTGCCTCGTGAAAAATCAGGATTAGAACTCAAGATCCTCCATTTTTTTGGCCAGTGTCTTAATAACTACCATATCTGTCTCTTAGTCCAGTTGCCCCTCTGGGTCTTTGGTCCCACTGTCCAACTGCTTAGAAATATAATTTTAACAAAACTCCACATTGGTCTCCTTCTACCTTAAGCCAACCACTGAAGATAATTAACTGCAATCTTGGTTATCTTCGGTGGAGCTTCCTTTGAGGCATTTGAACAGCGATCAGTTGATTTTTCTGTCCGCTAAATTTATCCTGCTCCTTCCATAGTTCTTCATAAACGTGCCAGTCCCAAACCACACACTTCGAAAGAGAGGGGAAAAAAGCAATTTGCAGGGATGCGGGACAGAGCCAGCTGAAATTAAAATGTGTCCTGTGTAAAGACTTTAACTCTGGTAATTACAGCAATTTTAGTTTTTTTTTCCCCTCCCTCGAGCACTCTTTTTTTTCCTTTTCCATTTCAGATACATACAGTTTCCTAATATGTCTTGCTCCAGTGTGACTGAAGCCAAGACTAACATTTGTTTATTCTTCATCTTCTTCAACTGTGACATTAAATTTTATATTTGCACTTTTTTTTTTTAAGGCTGATCAATAGTTGTTCTTCCTGTAGAAAATTACACCGGGACAGGGTAGGGTGGAATAAAGATAAATTATGCTTATTTTGCACGTCAATCGTATTCGCTATATTTATTGACCTAAATCTAAGAGATGATACTTATATCCTGGAAGCAGGGAACTTGGTGTTAGTGTAATAGTTACCATTTATTTCTGTGTCGGGGCGTTTGGATCCATTATACGATTCCTGCTTCCTGGGAAAAACGAATTATCCAAATGCAGTGTGTCTTTGAACCAGGAACTCGGACAAAGTCCTAGCCGGGATCTGTTATTGCCATGAAAAAAAGATTTTATTTTTTTTATTCTGCTGCTGTACTGGCGTCGGCTTCTGCAGTCAGAGGCCAATTTATGATTGATTTTTATGAGATGGGCGCAAATAAATGCTGAAGAGGCTTGAGACAAGCATGGGATTATAATTGTTGGTGGGAAAGGCTGCTAGTTTTAAATTTACTGAGCTAAAAAGGCATGTAGTGTAAAAAGTCGGCTTCCGAAAGCTTTGTACAATTATTTCGCCATTTACTTGGGACAGATTTTTGAGAGGAGGAGAAGAAGAAGAAAAAAAAATAAGATGGGAATAAATATTGTGTAAGCTCTTGTTACATTTTTAGGGTAAAACGTCAAACTCTAGAAATGAGAAAATGTACTTCGGAGATTTTTGGTAGGAAGAAATTGTTGTTAGTTGCGAAGTCGTGTCCGACCCGTCGCGACCCCATGGGCAACGTTTCTCCAGGCCTTCCTGTCCTCTGCCATCTTCTGGAGTCCCTTTAAGCTCACGCCTCCTGCTTCAGGGACTCCATCCAGCCACCTCCTTCTCTGTCGTCCCCTCCTTCTCTTGCCCTCCATCTTTCCCAGCATGAGGCTCTTCTCCAGTGAGTCCTTCCTTCTCATTAGGTGGCCAAAGGACTTGAGTTTCCACTTCAGGATCTGGCCTTCTCAAGAGAAGTCAGGGTTGATCTCCTCCAGGCCTTCCTGTCCTCTACCATCTTCTGGAGTCCATTGAAGCTCACGCCTCCTGCTTCAGGGACTCCATCCAGCCACCTCATTCTCTGTCGTCCCCTCCTTCTCTTGCCCTCCATCTTTCCCAGCATTAGGCTCTTCTCCAGGGAGTCCTTCCTTCTCATTAGGTGGCCAAAGGACTTGAGTTTCAGCTTCAGGAT